CTCTGTGCCTCTGAGACAGCCAGGGGGCATTTGGCATTGTTGTTGCCATTACGCATTTTGGCAGCAGTTGCATTTAAGTCTATTTAATTAATAATTGCAAAATAAATCGAGTCAAATACACCCATGCACGCACAAGCACGCACGCACGCACAAGCACGCACGCACGCACACATGCAGCTGTTTAGATGTATGGGGTAAGCATAATTTTAAACAAGTAACATGAGATGATGATATATGCGTATCCTACAAACAGTTACTCGTCCTTCTTAAAAGATGCCTGTAAGATTGCCGTTACACTTTATTGGATAGGCTTTAGATTTTTCTAGATAATCATAGCTTTCTCATATCTAAAAGATAATCTTCTGAATCTCATAATATTATTATGTGTTATTATATCTAGCAGTTTTCTCTAAACAGGGTTTAATAGAATTCTCGAAAGATTCTTTTACTAGTCATATTATAATTTTCTCTTATCATTAGCATTATCTTAACATCGATATAGCTGTTCGTTTAAGAATCTGTAGAGTTTAATGAGTTTCTCAAAAGATTCATGTACTTGCCTTATTATAAATTTCTCATAGCATTCTCTCATTATCGTAACGTCATGTGAATACATATGAAACATCTCATAGAGTGCTTATAAGATTCTCATAGGTCAATTATAATAGCATTAGTAATATTTCAAAAATAATCTTACTTCCTAGCAGTAGATAAAATTATCGTAGAATTCAGATTTTCATAAAAGCTTTTATAGACTTTATTCCGTATTTATTCTTATTCTTCAGTCTTTGTTTTTCTCAATTTTCATGTCCAATTTCTTATAGCTAATTGAATGTTATTGTTTAATTTTGCGATGAGAAAGTTGAGTAACGACTTTTTGATAGTGTTTTTTTTTTTTTTATGTCCGTAAGCAACACCTATTCAACTTTACAGTTCTACATAGCCGCCATACAACTTGTACAGGGTATACTGACAGCCAACGCAGTGATTATGTTATTAATTAGTAATGTCATTGCAATGCGCATATTTGCATGGAACAAAGTGATTTACGGCACCGGCAATATGCGAGTACACAGATGGGGATATGGAAGTCGAGGTGAGGCCTGCATTAAGGCTATGTTTGGCTTCATTTGTCTGTTTGTTCTAGCTACATATTTGATTTCGATGCCAGTTACACAATTGCCATTGGGCTCATAGTTGTTGTTGTTCTTCTTTGGTTGAAATTGACAGCATGATCCACATTAAGCAGAGAAAGTGAGATTTATCTTCAAGCAATTTGCAATAGAATCAATATATTTACTTGCTCCATAATAGATTCAACTAAACTCTACTAAGCGAAAGATAATAATAATAATAAATTAGCTAATCAGGCGAAGCCGCAAGCAATTATCATAACTTTTTTTACGCGAAACACGAACTAACAAAATATGCTAAATTACACATAAAAACATAATTTGTTCAGAGCAGCAAAAAGAAAATGTTGAATTTTTCTTGGCACGCAAAAGCAAAACAAAATTGTGGTGCAAAGTAGTCGTTAGCATTTCAGCATGAGGGGCGAGCGCGCCAAATTCTTTCCCTGAGCAATTTAGCTTCTCATTGTTGGATCATAATTATACCGTCACTAAACGGCGCACTGCGGGCATATCAGGCTGCACATACTTACATTTTCAATTGTCATTGAAGCAAGGGTCAAACTTTTAATTTGAAGGGCTTGGCAAAATATATATATTGATAATGGATATTGATACATTAGTCTGCACACTTTATTAGCTTATGAAAGTACTATGGGCATTGCGAGGTGCGGGTATTTCTCTGCCGTTCATCGTCTGTAATTCAGCTATTCCTTGCGGAACGCTGGTTTGTGATTATTTTTAAAAAGTAAGCACCAAATGCGTTATGAAAATTAATTATACTAGCACACACACACACATACACACATACTCACGTAGACAAGCAGCTTGCGTGCCAATAAAAATCGCAGCAGTTTTGAAACTATTAAAGGAACGGTATTGAAGCTTTGTGGAAATAGTTAATATAAAATAAAACAAAAAAAGTTTCCTGTAATTTAATAACTCTGAAAAGTTATTAAAATTATTAATCAGCTAAAACAGCCTATCTTTCTCTCTCTCTTACTCTCATTTAAGGCAGTCTTTTAAATAGATGATTTTTTCACAATAAATTCGTTAGGATATCAAATAAATTTCGGAAGATATTCATGTTCAAGGAATTAGATTGGTATAACTCTATTTTGTAATTCCAGTTCAGAAAGTCTTAAAGCTTTACATACATAATACATATATGCTTACTAAATCCTGTTTATCTGCCGAGAAGGACGACTTCACTTATCTGAAGATGGCTGGCAGTTGGTTATCCCACTTCTCCCAAATTCCTTAAGCTCCCCTTTTCAAATGGCCATCATACAAGGCACATTTAAATGTCAATAAATCATAAACGACAACACGTTAGGGAGAAAGAAAGCAAGAGAAAGAAAGAGAGCGAGGGTGGACAGAGAGAGGGAGAGGTAAACTTTTTACTTTAGACGCCCAAGATTTGTTTTGTATTTTTAGAAATTGATGTAGGTAATGCTGTAGTGGTATATTTATGTGAAGCTCAAAATGGGGATCATAACAAACATAAAAAGAAAAAAAAATCAAAATCAAGAACAAAATTGTTATTTATGATTTGGATTTTTGGTTGGATTATGCCAAGGAAATTAATCAGCAAAATGTATGCAATAAAAAATGCCACACGCAATTAAAATGAACGCAATGGCTAAATTAGGCCAGACACACATTAAAAAATAATCAAATAATTAAATGTAAGTAGTGCGCGGCATGTGCCCAGCTGAATAGGAAAGCAAGTGTGGCCGAGAGATGCCCGCATAAATATATACATATTTATAAGTATATATATGTAGGTATGGCCCATTAAAGTAGCCCATTTTATGTACAAAAATGATGCTTTGGATGGCCATTAAAATTGCTCATAAGGTAAACACGGCGCTGTTTTATTGTTTATTAACGAATTAATGCACAGGCAAAGACACGGGCATTGGGCACCGGGCACCGGCCACCAAAGACCGGGCATTGGGCTTGTTGGATGAGTAATTGATCGATTGTATATAGGCAAAGTGTAATTACGAGCGGATCGAGCTAACGTACTGCCAGCCATAAAAGATAGATAGAGACCATTGGCAGCGCTCATAATCCATCTTCATCGATAAAACAAACAATTTGCGCACACATCAATCCATCGACAAGTACATTTCATTGATGTGCATCTATTTTGGGAGCGTACTCGAAATTCGAAATATTTGGCAATCAATTAATTGATTTTCAATATGGGAAATTATTTCATGCATTTTCAATTTCTATTTGTATACTTGAGCGTTTCCTCTACTAAGTGGAAAAAAATGGTTTATTTTCTTTCTCATTTTTTTTTTCTCTCTCCTGTTTTTCTTCTTCTTCTTTTTGTTCATGTTAATTTCATCATTTTTACGGTACGCCGGCAAAATGAGCATGTCATATGACGGCATCTGTCTTTGGCGCTTATTTTTGCTTCATATTCCTAGTCTGAGTGTGTGTGTGCATGTGCGTGTGTGCGTGTGTGTGTGCAGACATGCCGCTGAAATACTAATTATGTGCGCGATTTAAATAGATTTTTCATTTATTTAGCTAGGCCATCATTTTGGATGAAATGGAAATAAGAAGCAAATGTTTTATGTTGCGCCATTGACGCTGCCCGCCGCAGCATCCTCCCCCTCCCTACCCGCCTTCCATCCGTTGCCCTGTGCAACATAAAACACTACACACACTCGCACACTCGCACACAGTGAACACTGAATGGGCATACTTTGCCACTGGCAGTGGATGATAGGCGGATTCTGCATTTTGACAGGCCCACATCATTTCAACGTTTGCTTGTTTGGAACTGTAGCTGACGTAGCGGAAGTGTTTGCGAGTGGAAAATGCGATACATAATTTTTAATTATTTGTTTTACGCACACTAATAAGGGCAAATGAGGCATAAACATTGCCTAATTATAGCTAACTGACTCCAGCAACTCGAGCCGACTGACTCATAAGTAGTCCAAAAGTTCTTCACTGAATCGCATAATGGACCCTACAAGTATAAGCATGCGAGATGCTAAAGACTTCTCATCTGAATCATAGGAAAATTATAACAAACATAAATAATTTACTTTATGCATTTGCCACTCTATTGGGTATAGTAATCTTTAAACAATCTTACTTACATATATCAGGGCACTACTTTGTATTGTTTGCTTATTTCTTTCTATCGTTCGCCATATAAAGTGTACTACTAGGGGTCTACTACTAGGGGTGTGGCAATTTGGGATATACTAAATCTGGTATCTGAGGAATGCATTGACAACCCGAAATCTATCTATTTATACCCATTGGAGGTCTGGCGATCTTCTCAAATTTGAGAGCAAGAAATCTAATAATTTGACAATTTACATACTGTTGCTTTATTGACGACCTAAGAATATAATTTTTACGCCGTTTTTCAGAGCATTGCATTTAGAAAGTATCCTATTCCACAATTTTGAAACGAACTCTAGACTGCTACTCAGAATTCCAGAACTGTATCTAAGCTGTGTATTCTATAGCTTTGCAATTGGAAAATCCAAAAATAAAAAACATACATTTTATATGCATTTTGGGGGCGCGGCAAACAGGAAGAACGTGTACCTTGCTAAGACTTATAGTTAGAGCTGCCAAATGGAAAAAATTTCTTCCTGATTCCTTTACCAAAAAAGACAACCGTTAACCAACATTAAAAAAACATTACTTGTTTTCTTATTATATTCATTTGTTTCCTGATTCATCTTTCGGATCCCTGTTATCTTAAGCATAATATTTTTATATGTAAAAAAAAAAAAAAAAACATCCAACACAAATAATGTAAATAAATAATCTTTGGGATTTCTATAAATTCCCTTTATTAAGAAAATTTCCATTTTCGTTTATTTCCAGGTAAAAATTTGGTTTCAAAACCGACGCACAAAATGGAAAAAACAGGACAATGTCACAAACAACGAGGCTGCCGAGCATAAATCGTCCAGGCCCACATCCACAGAACAGCAATCCAAAGGCAACAACAACAACAACAGCAACACTGGCTCTGTTGATGATGGCGGCTGTCAACCTACGTCCATCACGGCTAGCAATATGGAGGCTACACCAAAGAAGGCGTCCAATGGTCAAGGGGATAAATCACGCGGCAATAGCACTAACAACAACAACAGCAATAACAACAACAGCAACATCAACAGCAACAGCAGCACATTAACACCAACTAAAAGCGGCAGCGGTAATAATGAAAACAAATTGCAAACAAAGCATGCGACGACCAAAATTAAAAAGCAATTGAATGCATTGCTGGAGAAGACCGCAAAAGCCGCAAACAGCCCAGCAGTAGGCAATGTAGCTAATGCTAGCGCTAATGCCAGCGATTCCACACCGATTGCTGGCAATAACAACAACAACAACAACAGCAGCAGCAAATCAGCTGAGAAACGCAATGCGAACAGCAACAACAACAACAACAATAGCATTGGTGAGACCTTTCACCACCATCGGCTGCACCAGCATGCCATACCGCTGACTGTGGAGCCGGCGGCGCCATTGGAGCAGACTGAGAAGCTGGAAATCAAACTGGAGGAGTCTCCGGCGTTGAGTTTGCAGCGAGCGGCGGTTGCTGCTGCAGCTGCCCAGGAAAATGGAAGCAGCTCACCCTCGAAGGCATTGCTGGCTGAAATGGACTTTGAGAGCAAGCTGGCCGCCTCCAAGATATCGATTGCCCTGGCTATGGCCAATACGAAGCTGCAGGGCGGCGACGTACAGGAAGCAGCCGAAATGAACGAAAGTGAATCGGAGGACGAGGAGACGGCCAGTGAGCCGGGCACATCCACCGAGGCACAAGATTCCCAGGATCATGATGTGCAAATGGGTTAGGCCGAAAAAAAGCCAAAGCCCCCCGCAATCCCCCACATTTCACGCCTAGCCAGTCAAATTAACTCGTGCCAAAAAGAAAAAAAAATATTGTCGAATATTGCTCAAGCACACGGCCAGCTCTCAGCCAAGATTCGTTTCTATTTAGCAATGATCACTTGATGTCTGTTGTCTGTGTGTGCGTGTGTGTATGTGTGCTTGTTAGTTGTAGGCATTTACACATATTTATGTAATTTATTGAATGTATGTATGCGTTAGATTTAAGTATAGGCTTTGTAAATGTTGCCATTAGAATCGCATTTAAATGTTTAATGTGCAGTTTAAAAAATACAACATAAAATAAATGCAAAATACTATTATAATTGTAATTTGAACTTTCGAAAATTTCATGTGATAAAGTATACGAAAGAGTTAGAAGAGCGACAGGAGAGAGAGAGAGAGAGAGAGAGCGCGCACTCGCTTCATTAACAGCAAAAACAACAACAATTGGTGAATTCATGTTAATTACAAATTTAATTTAACTATACTAACTATTAACTACAAGTGTTTAAGCAAAACCAGTCCTAAGTGTAAATCGCTACTAAATATACATATATATAAATTATAGATGGAAAATATAAAAAATACCTACATGTTTATTGTGAGTCTTTGTACAAACAAAACAAAAAAGAAAAAAGGAAACAAAACAAACAACAACAAAAAAAAACCGAATCTATGACGAGCCTATCAGCAGCCGTTACAAATTTTAAATTCAAAGAATAAAATAAACAATTCAGCAAATTAAATCAACTTTCTTTTTATGGCCGTTGGCCGCGATGGCTTTGGCACATTGACCACGCCCTCGGCGGTAATCAAGAACTCGGTAAATGCATTTGGGGTTTCGGGCGAGTAGACGATCTCCAGCTTTCGCACGGTGAGCAGCTGATCCCCCTGCTTGTACTGCTTGGGCACCTTGGAGATGCGCATGCGGGTGCGGCTCAGATTGGCCCATTGCAATCCCAGACAAGGCACATCCTCCATGCGCGTCTCACCCGTCTCCTCTGTGGCAGTCATTTGGTTGGAGCACACCACAGCACAGTCGTACTTATCCGCATAGCTGAGCAACGCGTGCACCATCCGGCGCATATCCCGGGCACGCTTATCGAAGTCGGTGTACAAGCGAAAGATGGCTGCCACGGAGTCAATTACGATCAGGCCAATGCTGTGCTCCTGCAACAGTTGTGGCAGGCGATTGCTAATGCAATCGAGAAGTGGTTCCTGCAACGTAAAGGATGGCAGATGAAGTTGCTTAAATCTGTTTCAAATGTCTTACGCTTTCGTACTGATGCTCGATAAAGATGTTGCCCAAAAAGTTCAGCTTCTCTGCCGGATAGCGTGCCTCAAATGCTTTACTGATTTGCAGTAGACGACGTGACGGAAACGCATCCTCGGTGCAGATGAATGCCACGCCTTTGCCCAAGCCGCCAAGCGTTGTGGGCAACTGCACGCTTAGCGACAGCTGCAACAGTACCTGAGATTTACCCACACCCGAGTTGCCACAGATTTCAGTTATGCCACGAATCGAAACTCCGCCGCCCGTGCACTGATCAAGTGCAGCACAGCCAAAGGTCACACGGGACCACTTCAAGCGAGCGGGTATTTTAAATAGGGAGTCCGCTGAGAGAGTTATAGCATATCTTTAAAAGTGATAACAATAGGCCTGCCGTCAGTTACCTGACACGGGCGTTTGTTCCAGCCATTTGGCAGCTGCCTCCTTCAGAATGCGCACATCCTCCGGAGTGCAGCTATGAACACAAGAATCCAAGTCACAAGTGCGTGTGTCCATAAACCTAATGCGAGGCGTTGTTAATATTGCTTCGGGCGTCAGCACGTTGACTAGATGGGATCATTAACGGATATCACTTTGAGCTAAATTGTATATGAGATCTTACCCCGCTCTGCAATCTCCTGCAGATGCTTGGGCAACTGCTCTAAAAAGTTCGCCATGTTTTAAGGAAACCCGTGAAGTTGTGTGCTGGCATTTAGATTGGGTGCCTTGCGTGTGACCCCGTGAAGTGAGGTGTTTCAACACCTATTAAATTGTCACCTTGGTAGCGAATAATTATTGATTCAACAAAAAACTTATCCACACAGAATTTGTAAACTGCGGCAGTTCATCATAGGAGGAAGAAGTGCAAGGAGATTTCAGTGCTATAACAATTAAAAATTGACTAAAAATATGCATAGGCATCTCTCTCACGAAACCAAAGAGAAGGCCATCTAAAATAAGCAATATATCAGACACTAATTGTTGTATGTTTTACATAATTCCTTCATTTTTAATCATTTAATTTGCACAAACTTCAGATAAACACACAAACACGATCGATAATTCGATAGTTCTAGAGCAACACTGCCCGATCGCTTGCGCCTGATGGAATTTGGATGTTATTGTTGTTGTTAGAGCGAGCACTTGTAGAAGCAATTAATTAACTTTTAATAAGATACTAAAGATGCACTCTAATGGGGACGTGGTTTCGACAGCTCGGCCAGAGCTCTAGCCTCAGCCTCGGCACTACGCTTCTTCTCTTCGGCCAATTTGGCATCACGAACGGCCTTCTGTTGAGCTTCGATTTCGCGCACCTTCGCCTCCTTCTTGGAGAGTCGGCTTTGGTGAGCAGCGCCATAGGCAATACCCACAACCAGCAAGGACCATCTTCCGAGCTTGATAAGCGGCGAGACACGAACTGGAGCCTGAGACATAGCTGGTTAGTTATGTAATGTGAAGACCAATAGCTGCAAGGAAAACGAATGTGTCAGTTCTTTGTTTGATACCAACTATATATTAAGTTGTACATAATGCATACGATAAGTAATAAATCACAGAATCTACTAAATAAAATTATATTTACCAATGATTATGCGAATTCAAGTCTACTACAATAGTAGTATAACCTTAAAGCAGCTGTCAGACTGACAAAAACACAATCGATATGCAAAATATCGATATTTCCAGTACTGTAAAATTCTTTATTTTTGCTTAAATTTAAAAAACAAATATATTCAAAAGTATGTGTTTAAGATTATACAATTCACAATAAAATTCGTTTTAGAAATAAAATATAAATCTAGTATCGTATAAATATAATATAGCTTTACTGAGCCAACTACAACTATTTTTATCATGTATTTGTAAATACTTGTATTTTGTATTTTAAATACTTGTAAAATATATGAAAATTCTTATATCTAAATGCTCTTTTTTATAAACATTATATGTGTCCGTTACTTTTAGTATTTTGTATTTGCAACGGTGACTCGCCACCTGTAATCACTCGTTACATGTCACACATCTCTAAGTGTGAATGTCAGAACTAAGCCTGGAAAAAATTTGTTTTGTTGAAAACATGGCGAATTTGAAACATAAAACCGTTTGAGCTATATATTTTAGGCCAAAATCGTTGCGCAACTGACACTTAAATAAAATACCATAAGCCCAACGTCCACGCGTGTGCGTAAAGTAAAGTTAACTAAGAAAATTCCAGCACAGACCTTGAGTGGGCTCACAAATATACTCACACACACAAACACATTCACGCAAGAACCAATACACATACGCTGATAAACGGGTTGAAAACGTCACAACGACCAGCACGACAGTTGCTGAAGTGTTTGCAGCTGCTGTTAGTTAAATTAGCACAACAAAAACAACGAGTGCGAAATTGGAACAAAGGACTCACAAAATGGTAAATGTGCCGCCGCTCTTGTGCAGCACTCCGCCCCCGATTGACTTTGGTGAGGACGACGACGACTCGGGGCTACAGTCAACGCTGCAGCTGGAAGACGGCGAAGCTGACGAATACTCTGAGTATGGCTTAGTCACCGACACACACACATCGTTCAATGCGAAAGGTAATTGTTTTTATAGGTAATTGCTTTTTTGTTTATTAAAATAGAAATGTTCTCCTTGCAGTGTCCGAATTGCCAGAATTGCCCATATCAGCAGAGTACATTGCTCACTCCCAACCGCCAGAACTGAGCATTGGACCTGCTAAGACAGAAAAGGCTACAGTGGAGGCTTTCAATTATCAAGTGAAAGCAGCTGACACTGAAATACCTGAAGGGCAGAAAATGTCACCAAAGCACATTGATGTTCTGGCGCCTGTAGCTGAACTAAGTGAGTTAGCTGTTGAAGTAGAGCAACCATCGGAGGTGGACGATGAGGAAGAGGAGGCTAACGCCAATGACAATCTGCCCTCGCTCAAACTGGACAGCCTCAGCCTATACTCCAGCGGCAGTGCAACGCCACCAAGCACCTTGTCACCCGTAGCCGACGAGCAAACAACCAAAGCACCCCCAGTATGTCACCAGGTAACACTGGAAGATGTCACCGACGACAGCGACGACGAGTGTTCGCCAAAGAAACCCAAAGAACTATTTATACCTGAAGGCGCGCCTGACTTTTTTGCCATAGAGATTATAGCGACGCCCACGCAACAAGCTTCTGCAATGAATAATCAATTGCCTGAAGCAAAGCCTGAACCCGAAGTTATTTCTACGTGCAAAACAAACGACGTAGCAGATTCTAATGAAGTACTGCCGCAGGAGCTAAACGGAAAAGTCGATGAGGCTAAGTCACAGGAGGCGCTAAGCGAGGACGACGACTTTGGCGATTTTGCGGACTTCTCTGCCGCGCCCGCAGTTGTAGAAACCGAACAGGTTGCCAATCAAGACGATGGTTTTGACGATTTTCAGGACTTTGTAACGCCTGCAACGACGACTGTGCCAACTCCTGAAGACGATTCTGATGACGACTTTGGCGACTTTGCTGAGCCCACATTTGAGTCCGCTCCGCCTGCAGTGGCGCCCGCTCTACCGCAACCCCCGCCGCCAGCTGCTGCGCACTTGAGCATCGACGAGCGAGTCAAGCCTGTCCTGGAGATTATGTTCCCTAAAGTGGAATCGAGTTGTGCGCAATCCGCAGGCAACCAAAGACCGCTGGCTGAGGCGCAAATATTACACTTCGGTGCCATTGAACAGGCACACGCTCTGAACTATCAGTGGTCCAGTTCGGAGATGCGTCACTCCCTTGTCCGCTCACTGGCCATCGATTCGCGTAATATTGTAAGTGCACCTGGATTAAACTTGATTCTTTTCCTAAAAATGGTTTGATATTCCCAGCTCTTCGGCGACAAGTGGAACGCATCAATGCCACGCTTTGCGGCGAATTTAAGCTTTGATCCTCTCAAACCGCTCAAGCCACAAGCAGCGCCCGGGCCAAACTTCTCGCTGCTGCCCGCCAGCAACAACAGCTCTGCTCAGCCACCACTTCAGGGTAAGTTCCTGGACTCGTTACACGCCGCAAAGAACTTAGTTACTGCAAATTAACCGCTACACACGATTCTCGTAACCAAAATTTCAACCGCCTCTCGCTCGCTCTCTCCTGAGACGTTTCGTTTGATCCACACGCTTTTCGCTTCCAAACTGAACAAACAATTGGTCTGCCTTCTATTGGCTGCTCTATATTCTCGTTTTCTTGATTTCCATTCGTTTTCTATATCCTATTACAAAACGTACTTGCAAATTATAGTCACTTCGGTAGACCGAAGTTGTGATGCCCTTGCAGATATATGTATGTATGTTTGTATGTATGTATGTGTTCAAAATATTGCTGATAACGCTATTGACATGTAGGAGTATTATTGATACTATTATTAATATGCCAAATATAATTATTATTCTTCGAATATCTGTCAAAACTTGTATCTATTTTGTTCAATTTGCATTTTTAAATTATTTAATTTTTTAATATATATAAATACTGCTAAAAGTTAAATGTTATATGGTTTACAAAATCTTGCTAATTTAATTATTTAATAGTTTATAATTAATAATTTAAATTTTTAATTTATTTAAATATTACATAAAATATCCGCTGAAACTACGTTTCTATAGTTTTCAAAATATTTTTTATATGGATCTAAACATAATCTTCTGCAAGGGTACTATATAGCAAAATACCGTTACTTTCACTTGATTCTTGTGTCCACCATTTATGTACTCAAATTTATCCTTACGATAAATTGTATTTAGAATCACATGTACAGACTTTACAATTGGAACAACAACAACAACAACAACTAGACCAAGTAATGATGGTGGCTAATGCTGATAAAATAAATCTTGTTACCTCTAACTACTCCCACAACAACAACAACAATACTCACGATGCCTTGGATGCGCAACTGCCATTAATGGAACTGCTTAATGATAATAATGAAAATATGACAATCAACTACAACAACAACAACAATGACAATGCTAATGCCAATGACAATTTTCTCACACATTTTGCCACCATCTGCAATAATAACAATCATGCAATAACAACCACTACAACAACAACAACAACAAACACTAATTTTACTGCTCACTGCGCCTTGCCGGATCTTAGTAAGTTTCGTTGGCTCCGTGCTTCGTGTTGTAGTTGTGTATACTGTTTTATATACTCTCTTTTAAGTCTATGCAACTCCAACTATTTCTCCTCAGTTCTTGTTACCTTTCGCTGCCAAAACACAACCGAACCCCAGAACCTTCCAAAACTGCACTAGCTAATCCAGTATCTTAGTACTCATGTTGTCCATTTGTATCTAACCAAAAGCCCTTGCTGTTGCCCCAATATTAATCTGAATTTTTACTGTGCTTCACAGGACTTGAAGCAGCAGCAGCTGCCTCCGCCGCCGCAGCAACATCGCAGAGCCAGACTAAAGCGCAGCCTAGCCCGGCTGATGGGCAAGTCGCAAGCAGCGCCGACGAGGCAACTGCCGTTGTGTCCGCCGCCTGTCCTGATGACGGCCCAGCAGCAGCATCAATATTTGCTGCTGCAGCAGCAACAGCACCGCTATCGCCTGCTCTATCAACAGACGGCCATGGCAACCACTTCGACGACATTGAGCAGCTCCCTCAGCAGCAACAGCAACAGCAGCAGCAACTTGATCTAAGAGGGGAGTCACTTTTGCCATCACCTTCACCATCACCGCCACCGGCGCTGGCAACCGCTGTAAACAGCCAGCAATTGCATGAGATCACCAGCTGCAACAGCACCAGCAGCAGCATCAGCATCAACAACAACAACAACAATAGCTTTTCGTTGCCGCTCAAAGAGACGCATATTTACACGCCCTCGAAATCGGACACCGTGGTGGCCAAGACCACAACACTGGCGCCCATTGATTTCGACTACGAGATTGCCTCGGCGGGAATTATTATAGATGAGACGGTTGTCAAGAAGGAATATCGCGATGTGGAGTACAAGCCGCCCTTTGGCCTCGATTCGCCAACGAAACCGAGCAGCGCGGGCAAACCAGCAGCAGAGGATGACGATTTCAGTGACTTTCAGTCTGTGCCCGCCGTCAAGAGCGTCGCCCAGCTGCAGCCACCGCGCAACGGAACGCCGACGTTCGGTGAACAAATGATACTCAGTCCGGCCATACTGCTGCCGCAGTCAATTCCGCTGGCCAAGCCCACCATTGAGTGGGGCGACAATGCGCAGGCCAGCATCAATGCGGATGAGCTGGCGCGCATCGAGGAGTTGTTCTCGCATCAGTACAAGCCGCCCACGATAAGCGCCAGTGTTGCGCAACAGTCGCCGAAGCAACATCAACAACAGCAACTGCAACAGCAACAGAAGCAACACCAGGAGGACGATGAGTGGTCCGACTTTGTGTCGGTGCCTGTGCAGCAGCAGCAGCAGCAGCAACAGCCCCAGCAAATCAAACACAACAACAACAATGTGCAGAAAGCACGAAAAGCCACGCCCATTGCAGCAGCTGTCCAGAAGGACGACGACTGGTCAGACTTTGTGAGCAGCACGCCGTTGCCGGCACGTGCTGCGCCCCAATTCAATTCGGGCGCGTGGCAGAGCGCCAATTTTTACAATAATCCGCTGAGCCTATATCAGCAGCAGCAGCAGCCACATTCCCACAGCAATCTGGTGCCTAAATATCAAAGCAATAATAGCAGCAGCAACAATAACAACAACAGCAGCAACAATAATAATATACCACAGCAGATTCACATGATGCACGACTTCTCAACGGCTCCCACACCCACAGGCAATGCCGTGTCCTATCAGCATCAGCATCATCAACACCATCAGCAGCAGCTGCAGCAGCAACACCACCGGCAACAGTTTCATTTGAGCAATGCAAAGGTGGCGCCACGCATCTCCTTGATACCCGACCTGAGCTTCGTGGCCCCGGCATTGCCTGCCAATGCGGGCGCCTTTATGAGTTCGCTGCCCAAGCCCAGTTTCAGTGCCAAGAAATGACAAAAGCTCCGTAGTGCAAAGCAGCAGCGGCAGCAGCAGCAGCATAAGTCGTCCACAATGTTGTTGGGATCGCCGCCGTGTCCAGTGGCAGCCGAGGCCACCATCCTGACGTAGGCAGTGCGTCAGTCAGTATTATGAATCCGTCTAGATATTTTTAGCTGATTTAGATAAGCTTAAAAGATATTGTATTGTAAGAGCGACTGTATTCAACTAGGCTCTTGTCATTGTTAATGTGTGTAGTGCTGTTGTTGTTGTCGTTGTGGTTGTTGTCGTTGTTCTTATTGTTATTAGTCGCGTAGGCGTAGGCGTATAGTCGTATTCAAAGCAATGCTAATCTGTTCGCGTCGAGATTGAACTGTAGTGCAATATATTTTGTAAAAATGAATTTGAATGTAAAATTTAAAAATCATTTGCAACAGTTGGCCGAAAACTTAAATAACTCAGCAACTAGTTCTAGTTAAAGGTCCACACCTATATATATATATATATATATATATATATATATATATATATATATATATATATATATATACTATATGAATATTTTATTTGTTTAGACTGTATAGTGTTGCATAAAAAGTAGTACGCGATATTACCTCTACATTTAGCTAAGGCAAACGACCTACTTTAGTTTAGTTAACCCGAAATGCTTTTGAATTGATTCAACTCGCTTTCCTATCCAATAAGTTGCCCAGAATATAGTCATAATACAATATTGATAGGGTGTCCATTAAATATACGTATATATATATTGTGAAAGCCCAGCTTAGGCACCTTTGTATAGCCCAGTTTAGACCCATTACGCGTTGGTTTAAGCTAATCTGTGAATAGAATCGAGCAGTCTGGTTGAATCACTTCCATTTTCTAAAAAACAAAATTGTCCCAGCCATTCCAAAATGAGATATATCTAAAGGAAAACAACAAGAAATACTTAACCCGCCTAAGCGAATATATTTGATAGCCCTGTATACTTTTATAGGCGTGTTTGTAATATAGCTTATCGAATTCGTTATATTTACTTAAACAAAAAACGAAAGAAAACGCCTTCATTCCATTTGTAGTTATAGTTTGCGTTGATCTCTAAAGTAAAGTGGAAGAAAAGATGTGTAAATGAATTGGCTTCAGAATTTTTGTGTTAATGTTTTATTTATTGATTTTCGCTTAATGTTTTTTTCTGTGTTGTATGTATGTATAAACGTGTGTGTGTGTTTGTGTGAAAGTAAAACAATTATTTTATTATATATAAATTATTAACTAATTTCAAATCGATGCAGTAGACGTAGACTTAACTGTAAATTATGCATTTCTGTGTGAGCTTTGTTTTTATTTTGCTAATTAAATATTAAACAAATACAAATGACATAATTATTATATATGGGTTTGCGGCTACCATTCAAATCAATGTATTATGTGCTACAAAATTATATAATACAATAGATAATGTAATGTGTAATATATATGCGCAGAGTATAATAAAAAATATGTTATATATATAGTAATTGAAGGAAAAAAAAAAAACAATTTACGTTTATTTGAACCAAGTTTGCTGCAATACAATTTTGCGTTAGACTTATCAATTAAGTTTTGGGGGACGGGGCCGCGGCATATATAATTAGATTCATGTTTCTTTCTAGGAGACTTGCTGCGAGACGTAATGGAGTACATGAAACCTGCTTAAGGAAGCTCATTGGGAGATGCATCTCAGTAAGACGCTCTCTCAGTAAGTAGGACTCTGCTACTGGACGCTACAGGAAGCCTCGTCAGATGTGTGTGCTTGTGTTAATAGATGTTGATGCAATAATAATTATATATGTATTTATAAATATCTAGTCAGGATTTGTTGTTTCTTCTTTTGGATTGGGAGTGGCGAGCGAGGTGCATAGGGTGTATTTAGATAGCACTATGGCAGTAAATAGTACATATTAATTAGCAATATATATATGTATATGTATTCTAGTCCTATATAAATAGTGTGTACGTTTTCATTATAAATGTGAATGCAATGTTAATGTTATAATCATCAGCTTCAATCGCTTCAACTTCATCTAAATGTTTAACAGTTTCATAATCGATGCCTTAACATAAAGGAAAAACGCTAACAGATCCAAAAATATGTTGATGATGCTCTCTATCCTTTACGATATTTTGCACTAACAGTTTTCTTTGTGTTTTTTAAATATTTTCTCATTGTTCTTTAAAGAATTACTAGGCTATATGTATATATATATGTATAATTAGGTCATGACAGTTGACAGAGCTCAGAATGCCAGCCATGGATGATGCAGCAGCGATTCCTTGGAACGATCGCCATAGTCATAAGTCAGTTCCTCGCCGATCTCAATGTCGTCCTTGGCCAGCAGCACCAGATGTGGCCGTTGCTTGATAACAACCACCTTGGTCACAAGATTACCGTTGCGCGAGTGATTGATGAGGCGGCCCAGCTTGCCGGTGTCAATGGTGGCATCGATGCAGTACTGCTGGTTCTTATGCTTAAAGTAGTACATGTAGCAGCCAGCATTCTCGTCGAGCGCATAGCGGCGCTCGCGCTCGGTGGCCTCGCTGATCGAAATGAGATCACCCACATATTCGACGACGAACTCGTTACGCTTGAAGCGACGTATTGCGACAACGCCGCGCCCCTTGCCCATAAAATGGCGTACCTGTAGACCATCGCAGCGCTCCTCGAGCACAGCCTGCTCCAGATTACGCATCATTTCTTCTTTGACGGCTGTTTTGGTTTTGCGCACGCTACGTCGCACCGGAAAGAACTCAGTCATCTCGCGGTTGCCGTTGGTGGCAGCCAGGGGCACGGATTTGGCTGCCATTGTTTTGGCCTTAGCTGGTTTGGTAGATGATGCCTTTGGTTTGGCTGCTGCTGTCGCTGTGACAGCAGCCGGTTTGAGCATTGCCTTGGTTTTGTTCAGATTTTCACGCTCCTCCGCGGCCTTGAGCAGAGCGTGCACATCATCCTCCTCGTCCTCATCGTCCACCAAAACTACATCTTCATTAGAGATGTGGTTGTGCTGCTGTTGCTGTTGCTGCTGCTGTTGGTAAGGCGCTTGTGGCTTTGGCTGATTCAGTCTTCGTCGCGACTTTGACGCGCCGCTTGCGGCCAGCTGCATTTGTAATTTGCGCGGCGACTTTCGAGGCGACAGAGTCTCGCCCTTCACTAACGCCGTATCGCGAGGCATTGTCTTGATGGGCGAGGGGCACAATATGCGGTGTGGCGTAGCGGGTTTGCGTCGTCTGTTGGCCGCCACCGCAGGCGATGTGCCTGTCGTCAGGCTGCAGGCGACTCCACTGTCGCAGGAACTGCTGTCATGTTGGTCCAACTCGTAGCCGCCCAGCGGCTGTTGCATCTGATGCTGTTCTTGTTCGTGCTCTACCTCCTCCCCGTGCCCGTGCCCGTGCCCATTCAGCGTAACAATTTGATTGAAGCGACCGTTGAGCACGCAAGCACTCAGCACAGAAGGCGGCGATGAGAACACGGCATTGGCCAGCTCAAAGCTTTTGTTAATGCGAATGCTGGAGGCCTTGGTGGGCGTGCGATCAATGTCCAGCGTCAGCACCGGCTCCTGCAGAAATATATTATCGGAAGTGGCAGCGCTGCTGCTGCTATGTGACGAGCTGTGACTGTCACGCAGCGCCGAGCGATGCGTCTGAAAGGCAGTCGTGTTCGTAGGTGACTCGTCTCGTTGCTCTGTCTGTGTGTGTGTATCTGTTGGTATGCCTGTCTCTGTCTGTGTGTGTGCGTCTATTTGAATGTGTGTGTCTATGTCTGTGGGCGTGTAATTACAGCCCGGGTCATAGCTGTTTTCAACCTCAAGATCATCGTTTTGATATGCTGGAGAGCTGGTGCTGGTCGAGGGCGAAGCTATGGAGTGTTGATCATACAGGAGCAGCTCCTCCTCCTCATCCACTTCCAGTTCATCTATTAAAGTTATTGTCTTTTTCTCTGCTATTGTTTCTTTGCCAACACTTGTCTCTGATAAAGCTCCATTTTTTTTCTTACTTTTTGCAGCTGCACTTGCTTTAAAAAAGTTCTCAATCGTCCGTGTCTGAGAGCGCGTTGCCAATTGAACACCTATGGGAGAGAAGGCAAGGGAAGTGAAGGGGGCTGAGTGTAAGTGTGCTGAAAATTAACCTCAAATAACTTACCAATTATACGGTCAGTTTCAGACTTGGTTGAGTTACCGCCATTGGCCTTGCCGTTTTTGTCTTTGCTAAGATTTTCGTGTGCCTTCATGAGGCGACAGTCTTTTCGCTTGGGGCTCGCAAAATATTGATCATCCAGCAGATTATTGGTTGCCGCCGCGGCCACAGCGCTGATTGGCTCGCCATTAAATGGCAGGGCCAGTGCTGAATCGGAATTTGATGCGACCCTGTCAGAGGTAACCACCACTAGGGCTGCCTCTTTGACGGGCCGTGCGCGTCTGCGAACCATTATCATTTAGGGCTTAGATTCCGTTTGGGTTGCCACACAAAACGCAGGGGATGGGTGGGAATTCGTCGAGTTAATAAATTACGCTAAGGCAAGTCCGTAGCAGCGCACGCACACTAAGATACAGAAACGGAAAACAGACTGCAATTTGCATAAGTAGAAACAAAACGAGACATTAAACTTTTGTACATTATTCGGTCGCCGCGCTGCGCCCTCCTGCTCCCACACTCGCACTTGCATACACACTCACACACAAACTAACACACACACAAGCGCACACAATAAGACAACACAACACAGACTGCGTACAGTTTTTGCCCCTCGACAAAAATATCGTTCTGCTATGTGTTACTGCTGTTGCTTGTGTCGCACGAAGCGAAGAGGAAGACAGCGAAAGAATGATATGAAGCAGCCTGCTCGTTGCGCCAGTGAGGCTGAGCTAGAGGCAGAGGCCTACCTATTTAGATAGATGAAAACTTATTATAGCCGTCATACGCAGTAGCGCATGTTTTTCGTTTTACACTGTTCGTTTGTGCACATTGCTATCTATTATGCCGCCTTCTCGTATTATTTTTAGTCAGTCATATGCACTTTTCCTTTTCCGCAAACTTTTTTTGTGTGTGATTCTTTTATTCCGTTTTGCAGTAGAGTTGTTGATGTCTTATCGATATATAGGAGCATCGATATCTGCATAGATCAAGAGAGAAGTTGACAACAGAGTGTTTATTATGATATTTACTCCATATATAACCCTTTATGACGACAGTTATTGTTAGGCGTTTAAGAGTCGCTAAATAGAATAATGCATTGGTGAAAAAATGGAAATTAGCGAACTTTAATCATATTTTATTTTAAGTTTGCGTTTTCCAGCACTTAGCGAAAGTCGCGCGCAAACTATCGGTAGATGGAGTCAACGCTTGTGCTTGTTTGCATACTATTT